CCCTAAACCCCTAAACCCTAAACCCTAAGCCCTAAAACCCTAAACCCTCCAAAGCCTCAGCCCTAAACCCCACAGTGGCCTCCGCAATGAAATCCGGGGACCAGCCTCATAACGAAACTTACAGGGCCGGCTTCCTACTGATTCTGTTTAGTTTTGGGTTCAGGGATTTAGGGGTTTAGGGTTTAGGGGTTTAGGGTTTAGGGGTTTAGGGAGTTTTGGGATGGTGTTGCAGGGGTTCTACTACAAGGGTTCTATGTACCAAACCCTGCGTGGCCGGGGATGGTGAAGAGCCTAATGTAGGGCCTTAAGAACCAGAGACTGGTGCCTTTAAGGGCTGTGCCAGGGTTTTTGGTCTCAGGGAATAGGCTCAGGTAGGGTATGGGGATGATCAAAACTAAATTAAGGATATTGTGGCTCTTTACAGGACGGCCCTAACATTTTAGGGTTATAGGGCCCGGTTGCTTCGTCAGGTTTCTACAATACCTCATTCGGGCTCCCCATGTTGAGTTCCTTGTATAAGTCCCTTAGAATGGTGGGTTATGCACAGTCAGGGTCCAGGTAGGGTCCCTAAGCCCAAAACCTAGTGGGCTTTACCGTTTTTTGGTTTTTGGGGCTAAGCCGTGGCTTCTTCAAAGCTTCGAGTTCAACAGTAGCTGAGAGCGAGCGACCCTCAGGGTGGCCTATTCCGGAGCCCGTGAACTCAGGATCCTAGCATTTCGGGTTGATGCTGGGTTTAGTCTAGGGTTTAGGGTTTAGTTTAGGGAACAGTGTTTCCTGAAGCTCCGATAATGTGCACATGCCAAGAAGTTGGATGTTTGGCTGATCCGAGTATAGAAGCCGCGCGGAATGAACCTTGAACCCTGCAGTCCTGAGGTAGGGGCCCGAAGAAGAGAATTAGGAATAGTTTTCCCCTTTTTTTAGGAATCCATGAACCTCCAAGTAGGCTAGAGCCTAAGTGACCCTAAGCCCTAAACAAGCCCTGGCCTTGGATCGGATGGGGTTTGAAGGCCGGGTGAGTGGATGCCGCAGAGCCATCCGCTTTCCGCTCCTGGGCTAACCGAGGGGCTAACCGAGGTGTTTTTATGACCAAAATAGTTTCGTTTTCAAGGGTTCCTTCAAGGGCTGTGTAAGAGGGTGAACACACGGATCGTATCTAGAGGTCTTGATGAGCAGAGTAGGGTATGCTTTGTACGGCAATAGACAACAAAAAGGAACCCTAAGGAACACTATACGTAATTATTCAGAGCCGGGGGTACAGAGTTTAGGGGTTGAGGAGATTTGGAATAGGTCTCAGTTAACGTGTAGTTGTAGTAAGGTGATACGGGATAGTGTCGTTCTTCAGACCTCTTTATTGCTCCAGCTCTGCAATTACAGCAACCCCCAAAACCTAAATCCTGAGCTTCTAGCTGGAGCCTCGATTCCAGTAGCTTCGTTCGGCTGCCTTGCTTCCAATGATGGGACCCCGAATCAGAGAATGGAGCTCTCCGCAACATGACAAAAGCACATATAATCCCGGATCAAGGGGAACCCCACGTGCGCATCATATAGGGGCCTAAATACCTACCGGTTCCTTGCTTTTGGCTTATGTATGTATGACAGATTATACCCGCAAACCCACTCTGCTCTAAGTATGAAGGCCTCCATATCAGCTCTCTTGAAGTAGGGCGTTGCGATTACGCACGAACTCCAGTAGTATGGCCCCTGGTGCTGAGGCGGTTTCAGGATTGAAAGGAAGGGGGGCTTTTAGGGGGGTATGCTTTCGCGCTGTAGGAGGGTCTACTTCTATCAATGTAACCTTTCCGAAGCCTTTATGGCTCTGGGACAAGATCATCCAGCATTACAAGAGCTGCTGTAAGAGCCTTGGGGTCTACTATACTCGCGACATACTATATGCACATCAGTCGGGACGTAGTGATGGAGGGTAGTTTGGGGTGAGGGAGCCGGAAGGTAAACCACACATTACCTTGCAATCCCAATGACACGTTGATGGACATCTTCCTGCCATTACCGCGTGCAATAACTCGAAGAAAGCCCACTTTGCAGTTAGCCATGAGGCCGTCTTGATACCTGATGCGACCATAGCCGCGTCGGCGGGCTCGGCGAGGCAAATCCTGAGCTGGCAGCCGCCCTCAACACCTCAAGCCGAAACCTTTAGATCTACACATAGCTCTAAACGCGTCAATGGGGACTAGAGAAACTAACAAATGGAAATGCCGTGAGAATCCAGATCGCAACGGCCCTATATTCGGCAAAGCCCAACGACACCGACGAGAAACCACGACGGACGGGTGCGCAGGTTGGATTGTCGGGTAAGACGACGCTGTAGAGCCCTGAGACCCTGCCGGCGGTAAAATAAAGATTATGTGTTCAACTAGAGCTGACGCTCATACTAGTCTTGTCTTGTCAAGCGGCCATCTTGGTGTCAAGCTTGAATTTCGTACTGAAGATTGGTGTTATTCTCGCGGTCGCCATCTAGTTATTCTAGTACTGCCATCAACAGCGTTGCAATAAAGCCGGCAATAGCAACACGAAAACATAGTAGTAACGCTGGGAACGGCATAGTCACACAGCAATTTTACTTGAAGCCCTTCGCCTGATGCCAGGACTGCACATGACACCCACGAAGCGAGGGCACTGAGCCAACACCTGAAACCCTTAACCCCCAGAGCCATGAACCCGAAAGCCCAGATTTGTAGTAGTGACGATTTCAATCGAGAAGGTCCCACATCCCACCCAGAAATCGAGCAGCTTGACTTCTGGGCGCTTCTCCTGGCGATCTATGGAATCTAATTCTGTCGGTGTTGGAGGACGGTGGGCCTATGATACAATACGGCACCGTCCTGACTTGGGGCTTCGGGGCATCTTCGCTCAAAGTAAAAAAGGGGGCTTCCTGTCAACCGGGTTCTGTGTTTTTCGGCTTCAGGGGTTCAGGACTTTGTTTAGAATGAAACAGGAGCCCTAAGGAATGACATAGGCAATTTGTTCAGGCTTCTATGTTTCAATACTCCCTAACGGAAAAAGAGAAATGGAGGATCATGGCACTTACGATCTTGCTACTTGCCGGGGCTTCTAGGTTGAGATGTTGCTGCGGCAGAGGACGTCCCCGAACCCTAAAGAGTTTGGGAATAAATGGGTTTGCGAATGCATGTTCCAGGCTCAGGCCATGGCTAACATCACAGCTTAGGAAGGCTTGAGTAGAAGTTGACGTGTGCTGTCGGGTTTGTGAACCGAAGCTGTGAGACCGTCGGCCGACCGCCAGTTCGGTAGTTTCTCGCAGTTCGCTGCATACTCGACAAGATCACGGGGGCCCACTGGAAAAGGCTCTTAAACACATCTTATACCTGCAGAGCCCAGCACAAGAACATGAATCCTGAGCAGCCCTTTTTCACACCAGGCGCAGTGAGTAGATGCGCCCCCGGGGCAGTGGCCAGAGGCCACGATCAAAGGGATCGAACATGTCCATCAGGTGAAGTCCCTCCTCTGCAAAGGCCTCCACAGCTTCGCGATCCTCGGGGGCGGCGCGCGTGGCCTTGCGATGGCCCTGGTCCTCCAGAAAGACCCGGGTCCCTTGCTTTCCCAGGCGTCGGAAGAGTCTTGCAAAGTCGCCAAGGCGTTTCTTCAGCTCCCCCTGTGGTGCAGAAGCCATGACCAGGACATCGTAGGGAGGGAAGATGCCCTGTTGCCTCCAGGTAAGATGGTCGGTGCTGTAGTTGAACCGGAGCACCGTCAAGCTTCCGTAGCCCCAAGCTCTCCCTCCCGTGTCTTCCACGAGGACTTGGGTGTTTCTGGAAGCTGCCTCCAGAGCTAGGTTGTCCACATCAGTGCAGCTCACATCGAGGCCCTTCCTCATCAGGACCTGGGCTGTTCAGTAATCCACCGGCTTTATTCAAAGTTATTACAATCGGAGTTCAGAAGCCAAAAAACTGCACAAAAAAAAGTCTACCACTGAAGAACCGACGGACCATGCAAGTGAGGCCGACTCCGGCGCCCAAGTCGATCGCAGAGCCCTGGAGCCCACTCTGCAAGTCCAGGTAGACGGCCAGAGCTGTGGACCAAAGCAGCGTGGTCTCCAAATCGTGCACGAAGAAAGGTCGCAAACGGCATCCCCTCCCAGAGTCGCAGAGAAGGTCCTCATCCGTAATGCCCTGACGCAGCCGCATGGGCCCCGATGGGAGCTGAAGAGTCAACTCTGGAAGGAAGGCGGGCAAGTGGTCCACGGAACCGAAGGGAAATCCACAGAGGGGCAGGGTCGAGTCGGACTCGCGGCACCTGTCCGGAGTCAGAGGGTTGCAGCAGGCTTCATATTCCTGAGCTCCCCAACATCCGCACTAAATCATGAAGGGAGCCTTTCCGATTCTTCACTTTGAATAAACAGAATTAATGAAGAACGTCGCAAACAAAAAAACAGGTAATCGCACATTACTGCAGGACCTAGATGCCTCCTGCATGATTTGCCACCAGTGCTGCTGGTAGCGCTGCCAGACGAGGCCAGGCATGCAATCAGAAGCATTGGACCACCTCTGCTCTGCACACTGGACGAAAGGATCCGAGCGGGAGAGATACCGGTAGGAGGTCCCAAGTTGCTTCCAGAATCGTGCGGCACCACCGCTGTCACGGAAGTCCCCTGAAGGGAGGTGGTGCTTCAATGCATAGGCCGAGGGTCTGTCGAACATATCTGACAGCCACATCACGCAAGATCATGATCTGCGAGCCATAGCTCGAGAAAGGAGATCTGAGATTTCGAGGAGCATCGGAACACTGGGCAGATTGCAGCAGTCAGGTGCTAGACCCGTAAAAATCCAAGACCAGCTATGATCGAAGCCGGAAAACATCCTAAACTACCCTCAACCCTGAACCTGAAAGACCCTCAACCCCAAACCTGAATCCTCAGATACCCTTAACATCCCCTAAGCTATCCTAACGCACCAAGGATACCGGAAAAAGTCCTACACTGCCCTGAATCCCTAGACTGCGGGGCTCCCGGAGGGCTCGCCCGGCGCCGGCGAAGGTTCCACCAGTGCCAAAGCCCTGCACATAGTAGTCGAGACGATGGCCTCTCGGGTTTAGGGACAAGGAGCGGTTTTTGAGCTTTGAGGACCTATGCATGTGTATAATTTCAATCAAGTGCACATACATGAACAACTAAACAAGCAAACGTGTAATGCATTTATGTACATATATACACAAACATAAATGCCATATACAGTACGTACATACATACATACATACATGCATGCATGCATGCATGCATACATACATACATACATACACAGAGGACACACACAAGGATTCAGGGTTTCGTGGTATTCTAAAGAATCCTTGGGGCCACAGAGCCGGGCAGCTCTAGGCTTTCCGGCTTAGAATCTCTCTTAAACGCGGACTGAATCTACTGTCCCAGAGCACAAACCCTCAACACTAAACGATGTTGGATTAAGGTTTAGGAGACCCCAAATCCTAAAAGTCCTAAAACTCATAACCCAACCTAAGCCCCGAAACACCTACACCAGAAGTCAATATGAGGCGAGAGCCAGGGTCGGGCCGGGTTTCGGCTTTGTCAATGCAGCACCGGCTTTACAATTCCCCCTTCCCTTCCTGTAAGGAACAGAGGTTTACTTATCAGGGTCCACACAACGGCATCCAAAGCCTGCAACCCTCCAAAAAACCCATGAGACCCTTGGACACCCTAAACTTTCCACTGGGCGTTTCTAACATAGGGGCCTTCATGATTAGATAGGGTTCCAGGGTGTGTCCTCTACTATACTTCTAAAGCCACGATAAAGGAATGCTATGAATAATAATTATTCCAACTTCCAGATTACAGGGCTTCGCCTTCGTTATGCTTCGGGACACCCGGGACCCTGGAACCATGGGAGCTGGCCTTCGAAATCATTTAAAATTTCGTGACCGGTGGTGTCGTAATGAAACTGCGCGTTCGCCTTTGCCTCGAACCTGTGGAGGGCTTGAATTTAGGGCAGTGCTCTAAATTAGGGTCAGTTTTCAGGTCCCATACGGCACCCTTGTGAAAAAAGGGCCCTAATACGCACAAATCCATATGCCATGCTCTTAGCAACTTAGTAGGCAAGCAGGATCATAGGCCCTCTCGTTGATCATGATTGAAAAAGGGAATCATAAGAAGGTGTTCTAAAACATATCACCGTCCCTTCGGGCGCTTTGAGTCTCATGGCTTGAGACTTAGGGTCCAGGGTTGAGGATCTTAGGATGTAGACATGCGCTTCCGGATGAAGCGACACCCCGAGGACACTGGTCGCAGTACAAGTGCACATAAACACTTGCCAACAAACAATCCGTGCTGATAGCTGGCGCTGTTTAATTCTAATTGCAGCAATGATGATGCGTCCTGCGAGAGTGCACTTGTAGGGCGGGTGTTCGGGTCGTGATGTCACGGTGATCCCGTGAACTTCCGACCAGGACGTCTCGAGACTGCCGCCCTAGATGTGGGACATGGACGATATGAGACACTTCCCCCCCGTCCCACCCTCCTCCGATACTTTCAACACCGAAAAGATGTTGCTGAAGGAACCTCCTATGGCACACACGAGCTCGTTCCATGCACTCCCGGCTCTAGGTTTAGGCGGTTTAGGGCTCCATCCACCAACCCACTGAAGCTGATGAAGTGGCACAAAACGTTCCAAAGAGAGGTCATGTGGGGTCTTAATAATGGGGCATAGGGTTTCGTGTTATCTTACATATTCTACGGGGGCTATATGTGCATAACCTGAATATCTCTTTAATCCGACTTCGATATCACATCATTCCAGCATCTTCCCTTAACGTGCACCCACGTTTTAAAACCGCCCTCGTACTGTGCCGGGTAACTGCCGCGCAAGGAACCTTGATTGCACAGTTCATGCAGTTGAGGGCCACTTTTCGGGAGCTGGCTGGTGTGGCGCTGATACCGCCTTCTAACTGTGCCCCATGAACAGCATGGGAATCCCAATGCAGGTGCCTGAAGGGTTTCGGGGCAGATTAACCGGCAAGTAGATGGGGACAGTGTCGGGGTATCATCCTCCACAGGTTCTGGGGCTAAGGCTCTTCGGTCTTGGATGGAGGGTCTGCATGTGAGCCTTGCAAGGGACTAGCTGGAGTGTGCAACCCTGCAACTCACGAGCCTTCAAACCCCCTTGAGCCCCCTTGAACCCTTCTCATGTACCATCAGAGTCCAAGTTCCAAGCCCTGATCCGTAGAAGACTCCACCCACTCTTGATTCAGGACAATGACCGAAACCCTCATCACCCCTACATATATATATATCTCTCTCTCTCTCTCTCTCTAAGCCTTGAAAAAAGCCTTACACCCGTAAGCCCAGGTGCCAGCCATGAGTTTCGGCTAGCTCTTGAGCTTTCTTGACCATGCCAAGGCCTGGCCATCTCTTTGCCAAAAGCTTTTTGGTGGGCCTTTGGGGGCCTTTGGGGAGTTTAGGGTTTAATGGTGTAGGGGCAGCATTTAGATGATGTTTTTGGGCCTGGGAGTTTAGCGTATAGAGATGTTGAGAGTTGAAGGATTACGAGTCCGAGGACTCTCGGGCCGTTTGGCTTTCGGCGTCAAATTTTCTCGCTGCGGAGGGATGCTTTTTTGGTTTGTTTTCGGTGGGGGAGGGGTGTTGCCGGCACTGTGGGAGGCTGGCAGACGAAGGAAGGAGCGAGCGAACAACAAGTTGGACACCTACATAGCCGTTCCGTGTAGGGGTTGCAACTTCGGGACGGCCTTTCTATGACGATGATGACGAGGAGGTGAAGGGCAGAACCAGCAAACTGAATCCCAGGCCAAATCTACGGCTGGCTGCGGAGGTATACGGTTTCAGTTGGCTTGGTGAACATCTTAGCACATAGACAGTATGTTTGTGCTTCTCCTTTTGAGTAATAGTCGCCTAAGCCCTAAGTAATTAGAGGAGGGATTCTCTCCCAAACTCCCATGCCTCTAACTCCAAAAGTTGCTCAAGTCATGGTCTGGAAGACCGGAAGGTGCCTTTCCCTGACTTCGGCGTGATGATGACTTTCCTGAGCGAGCAGAACCCAACTCCACAAGCACAATGCAATGCAACCACTTCAAGCGAGGGAGCTTGAGTTTGCTGAAGTTGGGATTTACGGCAAAAACAGCCTAGGTAAGCAGGGTGCCTGCTGGATGTCTCCATACTTTCAACTTCCGAAGTCAAGCATTTCGTCTGCTTTCTTGTCGGACGGCCTACAGCACAGCCTTCCTTAGAAAAGTATTGCTGTCGACGATCCCCATGATGAGGCACTTGAAACTGTCGTACGGGTCGCAGATTCTCTCGCGCGTAGATTACACCCTTCGAGCAATATACCGATTCAGAGTAGGATGAGAATTCAGGTTCAGGGAATCGGTAAATACGACAGGGGAGAGCAAGTGCTGCACCGCCAAAATATGAAGTTTCAGTATGAACTTGAGGCCCTCGTCTGAAAGCAAAAAGGCCAAAAGCTTCTGAAAGCCAAAAAAGGTGACCTCGAGGTTCTACAGACTGCGAAGGCTTTACGCGGCTTCAGGTTTAGGGCTTTGGCTCCTAGGGTCTTCTTGCCTTAGAGTGGCGCGCCCAGGAAGCGCATTAGCTTCCGGCGCTCCACGGAGAATGGCTCAGCCATTGTGATCACCTGGCAAAAGCGTGCAAGGTCAACATAAGCCCTCAACCCTCACTCCCAAATCCTGACAGGCTTCGCGGGGTGCGCGAGAATTTAGTCAGGGCATCTTGGATCCCAACACACCGCAGTGGCTTCTCAATATTGTCATCTCTGCAACTTCATAACCCACCAGCAACAAAAGAATGAACCTTGCCCTTAGCAACCCGAAATCTCCCACTTCAATCCCTGAAGCAAGTGCCACATCGAGCGACGCATCTGTAGCCACGCTGAGCACACAGCATGGCAAGGCCGATGCCTGGCAAGTAGCATGGGGAAAGGCTCAGCTTCTGCGCCAGCACCAATAGTTCGAGTTGGTGTCGCTGTGCCTAACTGCCACGTGCTATTCCTGCTCGCAGCGTCCTTTATATATCATTCGGTCTTTTGCTGAACTAGTATCCAGTCCTGCTTCTTGCAATGTTACCATGCGTTGGTTGATTCGCCTGAAGATGAACGCCATGGCCCGTGTTATCGTCGACTGTGCTTGCGCTCTCTAGTATCACAACAACGACTACGAACGCCAGCGAGTTCTCACCTTGGCTGCGGTCTTCACAAGCTCCAGCTAAGCTCTCACAAGCCTTTGCCAGCTCCAAATCTCAGCCTAGTGAGTATCAACAACCTAGTCCCATAATGATACCCCCTCTAGTGCCTGATTAATTATCGTGGGTACAATGTTCCGGCTTGCCCTCCTTGAGAAATCCGCCCGACCAGGTACTTCAGGGAATTAGCCCTGGCCTGTGTTGCCCGATGTGGCTTCGATGACGGTGTCGCCCGGTTTGAGGGTCCCGTCTCTCTCTGCCTCGATCCGGTCGTTCAAGACTGAGGGCCTTTAGCCTTTCCCTACATTAAGGAAACTACAGGTGGGGACTTTAGGGGCTTCCATAAGGCTTCTATAACGTATATAGACCTTCTATAACGCTCCNNAACAGTAACTACCCACCTGAAAACGTTTTAGACTGAATCCCGGGGCCGTTGAATTCAGATCATGGATTCATCGTGCGTGGATTGTTACGGACTTCGTGAGATCCCACTACTGCACCCTAAGTGACTAAACATCGTTCGATCCACATCGAAGTGTTCAAGGCCACTGAGTCTGGGAACGCCGCTTCACTAGCAGTGTTCGGTTTGGGCACTTCATGGCTTTGGGGTAATGCAACGCAGTGCTTCGACTGGCGGCTGAATGATTTGCACCTCTAAATTAGCTTCAAGCACGCTCACGGATGGGGTCGCTGTTGTGCAGCCGTCGCTTTTCATAGTTCTGCCGGTTCTCCCTGCTTTACATTTGTTACCATCATTCGCCATTCGTGTTGATCTTGCTATGTCGAGTATTGCAGAACAGCATC